AGAAAGAAGAGGAGGGGGAAGGGAAAGGAAGGAGAGGTGGAATGAAATAGGGGTTGAAGGAAGAGGGCAAAGAAAGAGGAAGATGAATAGAGAAAGGATGGGAAGATGAAGGAAGAAGGAAAAGAGAGGAATGGCAGGCGAAAGGGGGGTGGATTAAAAAGGAAGGGAAAGTTATGGAAAGGAAGAGGAAGAGAGAGAGAAAGGAGGAATGGAATCTAAATGAGAAATGGAAAGAGGAGGGAAAGAAAGGGGAAGAAAAGAGGAAGAGAGAAAGAAAGGAGGAAGAGAAGAGGATTAGAGAAAGAAAGGAGGAAGAGAAGAGGAAGAGAGAGAGAGAGAAAGGAGGAAGGAAGAATAGGAGAAGGGGAATGGGAAGGAAGGAGGAGAAGACTGGATTTGGGAGGAAGGGAGAGAGAGAGGGGGGAAGGGGAAAAGGGGATGGGGAGACAGGGGGGGAGGGGGCTTACTTACCTGCCGGAGGCCACGAAGGCATGTCGGCCTTCAAGGGCTTCTCACGGGTGCCAGAGAGTCATATTCCCTCCTCTCTTCCACCTGCGATCAAACTTCATAAATAATTTCAAATTCCCAATGATTAGAGAGAAACAGATCGTAAAGAAATGATAAAAAACAACAACACTGCGGTAAAAGTGTGTGTGGGGGGTAGGGGGAGGAATGAGACGCTAAATAAACCTTCAATTTTCCTAATTAACGTGACGGATGCGGGGCCATAAGTGGCACTCTTTGGCACTCCTCGCTGATCCTGTCACTTCTCCCCTTCCCTCCCTCCTCCCCCTTCCCCTGCCTTCACCCCTCCCCCCTCCCGCCTCACCCCTCACCTCCCCCCCTCACGCAGGTGTAACAAATCCCCCCACCCCCACCCCTCCCTCCCCCCCTTCCAGTGTTTCTGTGGCTGCATTCTGTCTTTCATCAACAAGTCTGGATGTGCTCGATGCATAAGGCTTATTCTGGTGTGAAGTTGTTTGTGAGTTTCTTTTGTGTGCCTCTTTTTTCCCTTCGTGTTTATTACTTTTATCTTTACTTTTTTCCCGTTTGTGGATTCTCCTTATAGTTATTTCTTATATATTTTTTTTTCCTAAGTGGGGGTGAGAAAGAGAGAGAAAGAGATAGAGAGAGAGAGAGAAGACAGGAGAATGGAAGGGTGAAGAGACAGGGAATGAGGAAAAGGGGGAAGAATAGAAAAGCGAGGAGAAAAGGGGAAGAGAGAGGTGGAGAAGAAGAGGCGCAGAATTAGAGGGTGTGGAAAAAGAAGGGGGAAGAAGAGAAGGGAGAGAGAAAAGATAAACCAGAGGGAGAGAAGTAGAAAGAGAGAAGAGAAGAGTAGAAGGGGGAGGGAGAGCGTGTCGAGGAAAGGAGGGATAGAGAGGAGACGGGGGGGAGGGAGAGGGGGAGGAAAGGAGGGGGACGGGGGGGAAGGGGAGGAAGGGGGAAGGAGAAGAGGAGACAGGGGAAGGGGGAGGGGGACGGAGAGGGGGAGGAAAGGGGGAGAGGGGGGGAGAAGGGAGGTAGAAGACTGTGAAGGCAAGGGAGATCGTGTTAACCAGCCTTAGTGTTAGCGTGGGTGACTTCGCGGCTGTACAGGTCCCGTGTGTCGCCTCTCACTCAAACCCCCTGCCATTATTATTTTATTTTTCCTCCTCTCTCTTTCATTTCTATCCCATATTGTTTTTTTATTTTCCTTTTTTTTCTTGGGCCGTTTAGCAGAGATTAGCAGACGAGCTAGCGCCAAAGAGTAGTTCATTTCTCTCTCTTTTTTTAATGGAGTGAAAAGTGGAGGTTAACATCGATAAATTTCTAACCGGTTCGCGTTGTTCAGTCCGTTGTTGTGCTGTGTTATTGTGTTAAGAAAAGAACGAAGAGAATATAGAAAAAAAAACGGATATAGATACCGAATGAAGGCAGTAAACGAAGATTAAGAAGGTAGACTGTTAAACTCGCTTGGAAAAAAAATATCTATTGGTTGCATGAAATGACTTTTGCTACAAAGTGTGTGGGAAAACGGGAATACAACGGTTGCAACTTGATACAATATTTAAAAGGTAATATTGATGTGTTATCTACTAGTGGTAGTGGTCTCTCTCTCTCTCTCTCTCTCTCTCTCTCTCTCTCTCTCTCTCTCTCTCTCTCTCTCTCTCTCTCTCTCTCTCTCTCTCTCTCTCTCTCTTCCCCCCATCCTCTCTCTCTCTCTCTCTCTCTCTCTCTCTCTCTCTCTCTCTCTCTCTCTCTCTCTCTCTCTCTCTCTCTCTCTCTCTCTCTCTTCCCCCCATCCTCTCTCTCTCTCTCTCTCTCTCTCTCTCTCTCTCTCTCTCTCTCTCTCTCTCTCTCTCTCTCTCTCTCTCCTCTCTCTCTCTCTCTCCTCTCTCTCTCTCCTCTCTCTCCACTCTCTCCACTCTCTCCACTCTCTCCACTCTCTCTCTCTCTCTCTCTCTCTCTCTCTCTCTCTCTTTCTCTCTCTCTCTCTTTCTCTCTCTCTCTCTTTCTC